GCAAATGTCTCTAGTTTTTATTTGATATACCAACCTTAAGTGGTAGTAGCCTTAAAAAAAAGATCAAGATATTTGCATCTTTTACTAAAGGTTTCTCCTTGTCCTTGGTTGTGGTTACTAATGTAGTTTTGGTAGGGCTCTCAATAAACCTGGCCCTTTAATGAACCTCTTACCAAGATTGACACACGATAAGAGCTTAAGCCCATGTATGTAAGTTTGTGCAATGCAAATGTAATCTTGTTTGTTATTTTTTTTTTTGTCAACAAATCTTGTTTGTTAACAAGGGGTAATTTCAGAACAAAGTTCGACAAATTTCTGTAAATAAATGTAGTTATCGAATAATCTGCTCATAATTTTTTTAAAGTACGTAAAGCATTACACTTTTAATTTATCAAACGGAAATGAAAGAGTTTCGAATGGTAATCATCGAGAGTGAAATTGATAATTTCGAAATATGACGTTTGCTTCACCCATTACGGATGAATATAAAATAAGATGATTATAGTACCATAAGTTCATTCATTTTCTTTTCTTTACCAAAAAAAAAAAAGGTTCATAACCGACCAATGAACCAAAATAAAATAACCCAATCCAAGTTGACAAAAATAAATAAATTAATCTAATCCAATAAGTCAAAACCCTGATATCAATAATGCAAAGAGCACTATATAAAGTCCTGTTATCTCTTATATAAAGAAACCATATAATTTATATATCATAAACATAACATAGACGACATGCAAGCAAGTCATTTGAATTATAAAATTCTTAAAGTTGTGCCTCCCACGTAAAACCATCACATTAGTTTCCAAACCCAATATATAAATTACTGACACACACATCTCTCGACCATATCAAACAAATACAAACGAAGAAAGATATATAACAAGAGCAAAATAATGAAGTTGGCCGTGGTCTCAGTCGCCGTCCTACTCGTGATTGTCGTGGCCTCTCCGGTATCGGCGCGAGCCGGAGGATACGGAGACGACGGGGATGATGACACTAGGTCATGGTTTCCCTTGGACAATCTATTATCGCTGAAGTATTATGATAAGATTTGTCCAAATTTTGAGAAAATCGTTGATACCAAAGTGAAGGAATGGACAAAGACTGACCCTTCCCTCGGACCGGCCCTCCTTCGCCTTATCTTCCACGATTGTGGCGTCACGGTATTGCATTCTTTCTTAACTATGTATCACACATTAACCATTGAATTGTGTAGTATCCAGTATTCGCATTATATTCTCATGCTATATAGTTTTACAATGATTTGAAAATCAAAATCAATCTCGACCTGAGAGGAAGTACGGACAGGTCCATAACTTCTTAGTATTCAGAATCTCTTAAGAGTTTTTGTTGGTAACACTTAGAATATGCATAAATTGTTCCAAATGATATGCATAAATACGTATTCTTTTTACATCTATCTAATTACATTTGAAAAAGATAACAAATCTAATGTTTTTGTGAATGAATAACAATTTTCAGGGATGTGATGCATCGGTTCTTCTAGACCACGAAGGATCAGAGAGAAGATCTCCGGCGAGCAAAACCCTAAGAGGTTTCGAGCTAATCGACGATATCAAGTCCGAGGTCGAGAAATCTTGCCCCGGTTTAGTCTCTTGTGCTGACATCCTAGCCGCAGCTAGCCGTGACGCGATCTTCCAACTCAAAGGACCTTACTGGGCCAACGCCTACGGTCGTCGTGACTCCAAAACCTCTTACGCTAGAGACGTCGAGAAAGTCCCTTCAGGCCGCCGTGATGTCACTGGACTTCTCGAGACGTTTCAGTCTTACGGTCTCAACGTTCTCGACCTAGTCGTCCTCTCCGGCGCTCATACCATCGGAAAAGCCTATTGTGGAACCATCCAGTCGAGGCTTTACAACTTTAACGGCAGCAATGGAACTGATCCGTCGATCGACGCCAAATACGCAGATTACTTGCGGCGCAAGTGTCGTTGGGCCTCCCAAACCGTTGACCTAGACAGCAAAACTCCGGTTATATTCGATAATCAGTATTACATTAATCTTATGAAGCATGAGGGTGTTTTGTCGACTGATCAGGAGCTTCTTAAAGACTCAAGGACCGCTCCGCTTGTAGCGGCTTTAGCTTTGCAGCCATCTGAGATATTCAGACAGCAGTTTGCTGTGTCCATGATGAAGCTGGTCAATGTTGGTGTCCTCACTGGTGAAGATCGTGACGGAGAGATCAGAAAGGTTTGCAGCAAATCTAACTCCGGAATTTACTGATAATTCCCTGATGAGTTTCTGAAAGAATCTTTTGTTTCATGTTTGGTTTCTAATTTTGAGCTCTTTTCTATTGTAATTTTGTAATACGTTGTCTGAACAACAACAGAAATGTGAATCTTGTTTTATACACAGAATTATTTCCGTAACAAGTTAATCTGACACTCAAGTTCTGATTTACATTTAGCCCAAATTACTGAGTTTGCGTCTATTTGACCTAAACAATGCATGATTTTTGTCAGTTCCACATGATAAAAATATGACAAAAGATTCATAATGTTTATAGAATCCGAAAATGTTATCAATCAATCAAGTAGTTGTGATTATAGCTTTTGGTGCAAGAAACTGAAAGATGGGGGAAGGATCAGACATTTAAGTTTTCGAATCAAGTTTTTTCAGGGTTTCTATCATATAGAGAAGCTCGCGAAACAAAAACAGTACAAAATAAGATAGTATATTCTAAGAGATTCAAAAACCTGAAAATTTAGATGGAACATAGTTATGAGAGTTGAAACAGAACAAGTCGAAAACCAACCGGTTTGCAGTTATTAACCTATTGGCATTTAGACTCGCTTGCCTCGAAGGACACCCTTACTACGACGAT